TAGAGCAGGGTTGTCTCTGACCCTGACACCCTGACGGAGGACAGCCTGCATCTTTACTTTCCCAGCTCCTTCCAGGCCCAACAGGCAGGAGAGGAGGGATCAAGTTTGCAAACTGGGAGCTGGGATTTCGGGGGACCCACCGAGCCGACCCCGCTGCACATAACGCAGCTGGGCAGGCGCTGCCGGATGGGTGGACATGCCAGTCGGCCAGGGACATTCTGTTCACCACCGCTGAACACATCGTCTGCTCCGGAGAGACCCACTTTGCCACCCCAAACATTCTGTCGGTTCCAACCCCCACGTGCCACTGGCATTCTGTCGGATTCTGAGGCGGCTCCAGATCTGGACCCTTCCAGATCCAGACGCCCCACGACAGACCCGCTGGTTTTGTGGCGTTGGGCTGGCAGCCTCGGCCCTGTAGCTCGCAGCGGCCATCTGACCCAGCCGCGACTCTTGCAACACGGCTCCTATTCCAACTGCGGAGCAGCTGGGAAGGCAAGCATGAGCTACTGTGCGCACCCCTTCTTCCAGCCGCTGAGGTTTGTCTAAGCCTGAGCCAAGTGGCGCTGGGAGCCGCCTGTTGCCCTTACGCTGGGCGACCGCTGCCCTCTCCTCAGCTGGCCACGGTCTCTGTTACCCCTACCACCTTCTGGTCCTTACCGGCTACGCCTAGATTTCAGGGTGCTTTCTGGTAAAGGTCTCCAGACTCGCCACTCTGATTCCTGCAGTTTTTCGGCTCCTCTCTTGGTCCTCTTACTCTCCCCTTCTCGGTCCCCCAGGTCCCCCGGAGGTTCCCTTCTCCCACGTCCCGGCCCCAGGGCTGCGGTATGTCTCTCCAGTCTTGACTGGTTCCCCAAACACCAGAGTTTTCAGCCGCCCCAGGTTCCCTTTTAGCAGTCCCGGGGCCAGCCTTGGCCCCTTGGCCCCCTGAGCCCCTGTCCCCCTCATGGTCAAGCACTCACAGTGCGATCCGCAGCAGGCAGACTCCCGGTGGCGGCGGCGGCGGCGGCGTTCTGGAGCGCAGGCAGGGGCCAGGGGCCAGGCACCCTGCGGGGTGGGGGCCGCCCCCCTGCTCCGGGGCAGCCGCTCTGCTGGGCGCTCCCAGGCTAGCGGAGGAGAGAGTGAGCCTTACGGTGCAGTGCCACCCCCCGCCGGCGCCCATTCACTTTAAGGCGGCCCGGGGCGCCCCCAGCCCTCCGCGGAGCACCGCGCGCCCCAGGCCCCGCCCCTTTCCAGCTGCGCCGCCCTGGCTCCTCCCTTTCCAGCTGTGAATCTTCAGGCCCCGCCTTAGTGGGGAGGGGTCCTGCCGGCGGGCAGCCAACAACTCCGCCCCCTGGCCAATCGGAAGCGCCCGCCGTCAACCGAGCAACGCCCCCTCCCCACGTGGCCCGGACCGCGCTCCAGCCCGAGCGCTCCGGTTCGGCCGAGCCAGCAAAAGTGCGGTGGTCGGCGTGCCGGCCGGAGTCCTGCCCAGTTTGAGGCGAATTGAGGGCTTGGGCTCCACCCGGAGCGACGAGAGGCAGTGCCGGGGAGAGGGCTGCTGGAGCGCCAGGTGGGACAGCGAGCCCTGCCGCCGCGTCTCAGCGCTCACACTTCGCTGCCGCTCGTTTCGCCCGATTTTCTCCACTTGTCGCTGTCTGTCTTTGCACTCTTTTGTCTCTGTTCCAGTCCTCGTGCGTCTTTCCTCTTCTGACCGCCGCTTTACTTCCGACTCTGCCACTTTGAAAGGCTTTGTCTTAAAGACAGCCTCCCCTTTCTACCACATTTTTCTCTTCTGAGCTATCTCTATTTTGTTCTCCCCTAAAGAAGAGAACTTGGAGAAGGCAAGGTTTGGAACGAGAGAAAGCAAAGTGTTATACAGCACCTTCTCTTACTCGGTGACCTTGGACAAGTAACAACGATGCCAACTCCCACCCTGGCCAAAACCAAAGGGAGCTTCCCGTGGCTCTCTGGCCTTGCGCTCTTCAGAGATGTGAGCGCTTGGCCTCTCACTCTTCACCATCAATTTGCCTGGGCTGTGCTTTCGCGGCTTCAGCAATTCTGTTTCCTCCTACACCAGCTTTGGTCCTGTGGGCAAGGGGTAGCCTTGGCGCTTTTCAGTTAGGTGTTTGCAAGGGACAGAACAGATGTCCGAGGAATATGATAGGCTGCGTTACTGGATGCCACTTGAGTCCTAGCCCTGCGCACAATATGCTGCTAAGATGAATCCGAGCATCCATATCAAAGTTTAAAACACATTGATTCTTTTTTTCTGCCTTCAAGAGAAAGGTCAAGGTTTTAGAGTGGCATACCAAACCTCCAGGACCCGGACTTCCCCATTCCTCTCTCAATAGCGTCTTGCTCTGTGGGTCTGTAGTTTTGGCTGGCCCCACACCGAAGGCAGTGTTTACAGGTGTGCGACACAGAGCTCCGCTCTCTGACTTTGTCTTCAGCTTCAGCTTCGCTTATCCTGAGAACAAGCAATCGTTATATGGCTGATACCAATTTCTGAGCTGTTTTTATCTGAGGAGCCTTGCCAGAATGCCAGGCTAGTAAGATGTGCAGCCTCCTCTCCCATGACCCCTTATGTATATATTTTCGCTATCACTACATTCTCCATATTAAAGGGATTTGCTGACGTGTTGACTTCTGTAAAATAAAAATTTTGGAGAGCAAGAACCATTTCTTCTTCTTTTTTTCTATTTGCAGGCATACAGAAATTCAGTAAATGTACTGAAATCAAGAAAGAAGGTGCTTTATCTGCAAAATGATATGTAGTACCCATGAGGATTATCACGTCTCTATCATCTGTCTATCTTTCTATCTGTGTCTCCAGCTGTAATTGACAATCACATGCTGTTCAGATGTCAACTATCTGGAGTCGTGTGTAGGTAGGGATGGGAGAGTAGGGTGCTTTAGTTCACATACAGGGTTTTTCTATTGCCTCTCCAACCTGAGAGAGGCCCAAAAGTCCAAATGCTAGCTTCACATGAAGAGAAAAATGGGTCTGAGGTATCGTAGATAGATAGACTGAAGTGCTTTGGTGGTGTATCATTGTCACCTGACTTCCTTTAGGTCCTTAGCTGGACCTAGAAAACAAGATCAGGACACCAGTGCATAGGTACAGGGAATTCTTCATGTTGGACGTCAGTTCTGATGGGTTCTTCAGAGGATTGTGATCCATGGAATGCCTTTGAATGCCTGTTTCAAGACCACAGTTCTATGGTCTTAAATGGAAACTTCCTGGATCTGAGTCATCCATAAGTAGGAAGAAGTGGGGAGAGTTGCTTTTTTAGTGCTTCCCTGCAAACCTGGGTTCTACCAGCAGATTGGCTGGTAAGTCCACCACATATTCTGCAAGCAGAAAGCCAATCCTCATGCCCTCTTCCTACATAGTCCCATTTCTAGATACTTTTATTATCTTATCAATCTGTCATTTGAGACTTGTAGCTGGGCATGGTGGCACAGGCCTGTAACCCCAGCCCTGGGGAGGCAGAGGCAGGTGGATCTCTGTGAGTTTGAAGTCAGCCTGATTACAGAAATGTGTAGTCTTTTTTTTTTTTTTTTTTTTTTGTTTTATCTCAAAAAAAAAAAAAAAAAGTTGGATCTGGGCACAGTGGCACACGCCTGGAATTCCAGCACTTAGGGAGGCAGAGGCAGGCCTCTGTGAGTTCAAGGCCAGCCTGGTCTACAAAGCAAGTCCAGGACAGCCAAGGCTACACAGAGAAACCCTGTCTCAAGAAAGTCAAACCAAACAAAAAAACTAAAAAAGCAAAAAACAAAACAAAACAAAACAAAAAAACAAACCAAAACAAAAAAAAATTATGTGTCTGTGTGTGAGTATGTACCCAATGTATTGGAGCCTTCTGGAGCTGGAGTTAGAGTAGAGACGTGTAGATGTTGGGAACTGAGCTCAGGTCTTCTGGAAGAGCAGTAAGGACACTTAATTGCTAAGCTATCTCTCCAGTCTCACCTGTCAGCCTTGCTAAGGCAAATGCTTTAAATATTCATTTTCCTGTTAATGATGTGGACTAATGGTGTGATATTAGGCCATCAAACTTGATCCCAGTCGTTTGTTAAGATTTGTTCAAGGTTTAGTAGGAAGGGCTGACCTGAGAGTCATAGTCTTATAGGGTAAGTCATAAGAAGTATTGGGGAGGGGGCTGGAGAGATGGTGGTTCAGTGGTTAAAAGCATTGTCTTAAACAAAAAATTCTTTTAAAAAAAGTATTAAGGACCGCCCCCCCCCCTTCTTTTTAAAGTATTAAGGATGCCTCCATCCCCCTCCAACCGGATTAGCACACTTGGATTTCTTTTCCTCTGCCAAGCGTGGAACCGGCATTCCTTGGTAGAACTCTTTCTAGTGAGAAATGAGGATACTTCAGTTAGATAGCCAAGATTTCTGCTACCATTTTCTTTATTTCTGGATGGTAGGAATGGAGTAGAAAACACAAAATCAGGAGTTGGAATGAGACAGGCACACATATTTCTGAGAAACCAAAATGGGACAGGGAGATGTGGGAAAGATTGCATGGCCTGGATTTAGGAGGGAGGAACCTCAGACCTGCCAGGGAAGGGAGTGATCCCTAAAGCGGCAAAGCCCAGATGACTTTGATAGACGTAGTTAGGGTCGCCCGCTCAAGCTCTCAAAACGGACCCCGCCCCTTTCCCAGCAAATCACAGCCTTCCTCCCCAGGATGCCCAGCAGCCACTGCTAAACAGCGCGCTGCAACCGAACTTACCTAACCCCGCCTCTCCAACCGCCCAGGGCAACTTCTTATGTTTTTATTGGCTTCTGCAACTGTCAGTCAGCGAATCCTCGTATCCGTTGGCTGTCGCCTACCTACTCTTCTTTCCCTTGTAATCCGGTCTCTTCGGGCACTACACGCCTCCCGGAGCTAGTATCTTTCTTCGATTGGGTAGTCGGAATGCCACTCTGCAGATTGCCCCACTCTGATTGGCTGGGCGCGGCAGGCCTCGCTCAGTTACCAGGCAGCGGGCTAGACTGAGGCTAGTTACCACGTCAGTGAGCTGACAGGGAAGGTAGCCGGCTCCGCCGACCGTCCCGGCCCACTTTCCCTGAGAGGTCTCACCCCGAAGTTAGGGTCGACTTCCAGACGACAGGCTCCTTCCCTTCTCTCACTCGCCGGCAGCGCCGGGAAAGCGGCTGGGGAGACGCCTCCGGGGCCAGGCTGGACATGAGCTGCGGCTGCCGGTCCTGGGACTAGGCCCCGCCATTTTGGATCCGCTGACAGGTCAGCGAAGTCTCTTCTTAAGAGTTCCAGCGTCGTGAAGGCCCCCTGACGTTGCCATAAGAAATAAGGAGGAAGGGTCCTTCACTTGGGCGAAGCGGGCTGGGTGAAGGGCTTAGGGGGAAGAAATAAACCCAGAATTCTGGTGTGAAAAGGAGTTAGAAGGTGTGTGTAGGGGCCAAAGGTCAGGCCCTTGCCCCCAGAGGCTTGTTTTAGCTCTCGTTGTGACTCTGTGGATGCCAGAATCATTACGGTTTTTTCTAGGCTTGATCTAGCCGCCAACTCTTCCTTTTTTTCAGAGCTTTCTGCCCCCTAAAGAATCCAGTCCTTGGAATCTGAAAGCAAAGTTAAAGATGGTTTCAGGCTTTAGAGAATGAATCTTTCCATATTCTGTAGAACTGTCACTTGTGGATGATTACGTACTCATACGACAAAGTGCTTCATTAATTCTGGAAAAAAAAAAAAGAGCCAGTGCAGTCTGGATTAGGTAGTCAGAAGGAATAGAAGACTTGAGGCCAGCAGCCTGGAGAATTGGCCTATAAGATTTTTCCTTATACAGGACATTTCAGCTGTCATCGTGGTTCTGTTTGTAAACACTTTTCACGTACTCTCTATGTAGTTTTGCCTGTCTTGGAACTCAAGACCAGGCTATCCTTGAACTCACAAAGATCCACCTGCTTCTATCTTAAACCCTTTTCTTTTGGTGTGTATTTTGGGTAGGCATTAACCCACTGTGACTTCTTTCCACTTACCCTAAGGATTTGAGGTTTAATCACAAGGAAGCCACTCTAATCGTGGCCTGCTGGTTGAGAGCCAAGAGGGACTTGAATACTGATAAAGCTTGGTACTGGTGGTCTGCTTATTTTTAGTAGGTTAAAAAACATGACTAGGGCAGGAGATGTAGCTCAGTGCTTGCCTTGCATGTATGAAGTCTGAGCAGTGCTTCATAAACTGGGCATGTTGGCACACACCTGTGCCAACCTGGCACACACTTCCCTACCTACTTGGGAGGTAGAAATAGGAGGGTTGGACCTGACATTCAGGATTATCCTCAGCTACTTCTTGAGTTAGAGGCCAGCCTGGCTAAAGGAGACACTGTTTCTAACAGACAAGTTATGAGAGATGTTCTACTCCTTGTCATAGGTTCAGGGAAGCAGAGTGATTGATGGGGCACCCAAAGGGTGTAGTTTATGGCTCCAGTATTTTATGGACCTTTGACATTGCTGCATCAAAGCAGTGGAAGTCCATCAAAGGTAAAGAGTACTTTCGAGATGTAGTTCAGTGAGTATAGTGTTTTTAGTGCAGAAATTCATATGTTTTTATTTCAAGAATACTAGGTACTAGTGTATATCCTATACTGGGATATAGATGGGAAAATCTGCTTTGGGGTTGCTCAGTTTACACTTGCATCATGGGGATGGGATCCTTGGGTCCCACGTATGGTGGTCAAGCAGTTTACCACTGAGCCGTAGCCACAGCTTGCTTTATTTTGAGACAGGTCCTGGCTGGCCTGGAACTTATTCTATAGCCCTTCAACTGCTGGGTTTACAGGCTTGCACCCCTAGATCTGGCTATATACTTCTGAAAAGTAGTCACATATGCTAGGTGTAGTGACTGACACTTAAAATCTCACTACTTTCAGGGTTGAGGAGGAACATTTTGAGTTTAAGACCAGCCTGGCCTACATAGTGAGATCCTGTCTCAAAAAAAAAAAAAAAAAAAAAAAAAAAAAAAAGAAAGAAAAAAGAAAAGAAAAGTTAAAAGTAGGATGTGCCTGATTCCTTTCAGCAGATATTGGGACCTGAAAAATATCATCCATCCCTGGGGTTAGTTTAGTATGTGGTTAGGCTTTGTGGCCTAGCAGTTGTACTTTTTTTTTTTTTTTGCACATTTTGAGTTGTAACAAGGTGGAGCACTATCTCCAGGTATTGGAAGGCAAATTATCTAAGATGATACAATACTTGAACTAAGTTTCTCTTACTTCATTCTCCTGAAGTTGTCCTCCTGAAAATGGGTGTGTTAGAGTGTGTATGTGTCTGTGCGTGTGTTAGTAAGAGAAGGAATAGTGTTTATGGTTTATATATATAGATTTAAAACAAATGGATGGAGCCAGGCGTTGTGGAGCACGCCTGTAACCCCAGCACTTGGAGAGGCAGAGGCAGGAGGATTTCTGTGAATTTAAGGCCACCCTGGTCTACAAAGCGAGTCCTGAATAGAGAAGGCTATTAGAGAAACCCTGTCTCAAAAAAACAAAAACAATCCCCACCCCCAAAATCCAAAACCAGATGGGAATGGTACAGGATACTGTTTTATGTTGTTGCTGTTTTTTGAGGGGGTGTGACTGTTTTCGAACAGGTTTCTCTGTGTAGCCCCAGCTATCCTGGAACTCGATCTGTAGATCGTGTTGGGCTCAAACTCACAATTCTGCCTGTCTGTAGGATTAAAGTGCTGGGATTAAGGGTGTATGCCACCAATGTCAGGCTAACACTGCTTTTTATGAGATGCAGAATCTTCCAGAAAGTAGTTAAATGTGACAGATGAAATGGTAGCCCAGCCAGCACCCAGGTTAGGTGGCCTGCATTGCTCATCTGCCTGTAACCCTACCGAGTTGAAAGTACTCTGCATAAGTGGCAGTCTGCTCTTCTGGTAGGTAGTGTGACAGTTTCTTGCCAGTTAGGCCTAGAGGTAACTGCAGAGACATCTGGTTTGTTTGTGTGTTTGTTTTTGTTTTTGTACTTAAGTCATTTTCTGAGCTAGAGGTATATCTCAGTGATAAACCATTTAACTAGCATGTGAGAGGCCCTGGATTTGATTTCAGTACTGGGAGAAAGTGTAATTTTCTACATAAATTTCATACATAATTTTCTAGTTCCACTGACATAAATTTTCTTTAAGGTTGTATTTTTTTTTTTTTTAGCAATGACTGTAAAGAGATAGTATGTTTCAGTCCTGACAGTGATACTCATTGGCCCAGTAGGAATTAAAGTGGTAGACACATTTTAGTAGCTGTTGTCAGTTCCAGTTTCAACTCACCATACTCTTTCACTCTCCTATGTTCTAGAAGTCAGGATGACTACTGTTTAAAAAAAACAAACCCGATACTCATTGATAGGGTAATTATTCTGGCTACCTTGGGCAGCTAGAGAAGAAGACACAGTCCTTTTGTGAGGAGGCACCATTTCCAGACCACTGGAAAGACCATGATTGATCACACTCTATCCCTGTTGGTTGAGTATCACTGATTAGAATGATTGGATGTTGGGTCCATGGTGTGTGGTGGGGTTGTGTTGAAGGGAGGAGGAGAGAGCTGTTTTATCTTTGTGGTGGAAGAGATAGGAAATACATAATATATTGTTGTTAATCTTTTATTGTTTCTCTTTATTACGTTCCAACAGTAAGAGAAAATACAGTAGAGAGGTATGTCCCTTTGGAACTCCATTAGCAGTGGAAATGACCATGGAAGTGATGATTTATTCCAAATAGTAGTATACGTGATCATAGAAGCAATAGTATAAATGATCATGGAAGTATGAGAACAAATTTTATGAACAAGGGTTATAAGTTTGAATGCATGTCAGGTAGATGATGTTAAGGCCTGAAGTGAGTCGGGTGGAAAACATATAGGAAGTAGCAGAGCTTATGACCCCTAGTTTGAAGAAGGCAGCTGCTTCTTCAGCAGGTGGTTGCTGCTTGAAGACCTGAGTGCAGGATGAGTAGCCTTCCTTTTTTTTTTTTTTTTTTGAGACAGGGTTTCTCTGGGTAGCCCTGGCTGTCCTGGACTCCCTTTGTAGACCAGGCTGGCCTTGATCTCACAGAGATATGCCTGCCTCTGCCTTCCAAGTGCTGGAACTAAAGGCGTGCACCACCATGCCTGGCTCACCTTATTTTTAAATGCATGAAGATCCCTTGAAGAGAAGCTAGGCAGGCTGGGTGGGACCATCACTGCTGCTCGAGATGTACCATCTCAAGCTGGTCTCCTTTGTCCCACTCTGCCACTGGCCACTCTTATGCCTTGTGTGTTCTGAGTGGTTATAGATGATTTTCATCTCTAAGATGGGCAGTTTTGGACAGGTCAGTGGCTTACCCTACCATATGGTTCTGAAGATAGTCTCAGAATCTCCACAGGAGGAGGAGATACAGAGCGAAGGCACATTGGTCACCTGATTAGCAGGTTTGAGAGGATTTTCCAGCTGTGCCTGGTCAGATTTTTCCTGGTTTCACTTTCTCTAACTCACACTCTTTCTATACTTTTGAGTTCAGTAAAGTGTGACCTCTCCCATGTCAACAGTGTGTTTTGCTTGCATGTATGTATGTGTGCCATTGTGCTGGGTGCAGGTGGAAGTTAGAAGAGGAAGTTGGATCCTCTGAAACTGGAATGATAAATGGTTGTGAACCATAATGTGGGTGCTGGGAACCAAGCCCGGGTCTCTCCAGCCCCTCTTTTTTTTTTTTTTTTTGAGACAGGGTTTCTCTGGGTAGCCTTGGCTGTCCTTGACTCACTTTGTAGACCAGGATGGACTTGAACTCACAGCAATCTGCCTGTCTCTGCTTCCCTGAGTGCTGGGATTACAAGTGCACCCAGGAGCCCCTCTCTTTCTTGAGAGGGCTTCACTGTGTAGCTTAGACTGACCTTGACCTTGTGATCTTCCTGCCTTAGCCTTCCACTGCTGGGATTTCAGGTGTGCAACACTGTTCAGCCGAGGTTTGTTTAAAAAGAGCTGTGTACCCAGCGATATGTGTTTGACCCCCCCCCCAAAAAAAAAAAAAAAAAAAAACACTGTCATAAAAGCCTTGTTTAGGAGATGTTGACAGCATTCAGTGCCAATGAATGAGCAGTGCCATTCAATGCTGGGTGCCTAATAGCAAACCCAAGGGAAAATGTCTTTGTTTTGCTATGGAGAATTGTAAGGTTGTTGGTTTTTTGTTTTTGTTTTTGTTTTTAATTTGTTTTGGCTTTTGGACAGAGTCTCAGTGTTTAGCCCAGGCTAGCCCTGAACACTTAA